AAATTAACCATGTGACCAAATGCTCATGCTAATGTGACCGTTGCTAAAGCAGGGTATTTTTTGTCAAAGTTGTGCAAATCTTTTCCAAAATATAGTTGAAGGTTACCAGCTTATTGTTTAAAAAAAAAAAAAAAACCAAACAAGAAAGCAAGCAAGCAAACAAACAAACAAAAAAACAACAATGGAAATCCTGGAATTGAACTTGTGTTCATTTGGGAGAGAAATGTGTTTATTTCACAACTTGATGGAAAGTGATCTCCTCCACTCCTCCTTCTTTTCTTAATTTTTTTCATCAGTTTCTGTATTAGTAAAATTTTTAGTTGGTCACCTGACCCATAAAGTATGTTCAGTTAATGGGAGTAATCTCTGTTTCATCGTTCCTTAAATTCTCAGCTGAATTTTCTTCAGCTGGGTAATGAAATACTCAAACTAAATTGACTTGCTTTTAAGTGCTTTTAAACTACTTTATGCCCATAATAGAAGCAAATCTAATAAGAATGATTTGGTGGAATCATAATAGTAGGAAGCAGAACAGTTATTCATGTTATTATATAACAGAAGTGTCACAATTTTCCTTTTTTCTAAATTCCACATCTATATGCCAGTGATGACTTAGTGTCTATGAAATTATAATTATTAGTTAATAATCAGTGAACTATGTTAATTTAAAATAATGAAAATTTTTGATATTTTCTTTAAATAATACAATCTAACTGTACATGTGTGTGTGTACATATTCTATTCTAGCTTGTTAAATAGAAATTAGATTTTGCTCTTCAATGAGACCATAAAGTGTTATTAAATTTTTAAAAATTTATCCTTTGATTTTTCGCCAAATATTTTATTTTTAAAAGCCACAAAAAAAGCAAAGCTCCAAGTCACATTTTTTAAAAATATTTTTTAGTTGTTGATGAACCTTTATTTTATTTACTTATTTATATGTGGTGCTGGGAATTGAACCTAGTGCCTCACACACACAAGACAAGTTAAGCTATGATTCCAGCCCCCAAGTCACTTTTTTTTTTTAATATGAAAATAAATATCTGTTATTTTCTCTACAGTGATATATTGTTCACTTATTTTTTTGTGGTTGATTAGAATTTTATGAAGATGCTTGTTAGGTGTTACAAACAATGAGTTACATGTAATAATGAATTGTCTACATTTAAGATAAATCCATATTCCTAGGAATAAATTAAACCAATTGATGAAAGAGTTTTGACTTTGTGAAATAGCAGTCAAAAGTACCCCCACAGTGGCACAAACACATAGTAACTTCTTCTTGGACACACTAACAAAATAAAAGGTTATTTTTTTAGACCTTATAAAAAATAAGAGCTTAATTTGTGACTAGGTAATGATGTTGAATAACTAGCTAATCATCAATAACTAGGTTTATTGGAGAAACTGTAAGAGATATTTTGGCCAGAAAACATATTACCCTAGAAAACAACAACAACATTTTCAAAGTTCAGAATTTTTTTCTCCTAAAAGTTAAAAGCCAATTCAAAGGAGGTCATGATTTGCTCTAAGTATAGAGGATATACTGCTTTCTTACTTGAAGTATAGACCCAAGATTCAACTCAAAACACATCATTGCAGTAAACACCATTATCTCAGTTACTACAGCATAACAAATCAGTAGAATTTGGTACTTGAGAATAATTGCATGATTTTTTCATGATTCTGCAACCTAAGCTAGCCTGATAGGTAGTTTTCCTTTTCCATGTGGTACTGTGTCTGAAATGTCCAAGATGGCCTCTTCAGTCCATCCCTCACACCTCACGTAGAATTAGAGACCTTTGCCTCACCTTTCTTCATGTGCCTCCACATGGCTAGCTTGGGTTTTTTTCTTAGCACTATAATGATACTTCTTACATGAGAACTGACTTCCAGACAAATTTCCTAAACACAATTGCTTATTAACCCTCTGCTTGCATCTAATGTACTAGTCAGATAAACAGCCCTCTGCTTTTTGCATCTCACTAGCCAGAGAAAGTCACATGTCCAAGTTCAAAGTCAAGGTTAAAGGCAATTACACTTGGAGGAGTAATTCATTGAGGGCACTCATATAAAAACCATCAAAGTAGGATCTTTCTAGTATGATGCCTTTATTCTGAGAATGTTGTAATATTGGTCAGAATAGATAAAGCAACTGAATAACACTCAACAAGCCTCTAATATGATTGTGGTCTTTTCTTATTTCAAATCTCCTTTCTGTGTAAACTTTGCTGGTTCCTCAAATTTCCATCCCACAATGTTCCTATAGCGTGAAACAGAAAAAAAAATTCTTAAGATCTGGCCACAAAATGCATTTTCCTCTGACATTCTCAATTCCTGTTATAACGTTTGGCATGCATATCTTCATTCATAAAATAAATATACAGGGAAGACCTAATATTGTAGGCAAGATAATAGGAAGACAGACCATTGCAATATCTAAATGTATTTTTTAATAAACTTAAATACTCGCTAGTAATTTGATTACATATTTTTCAATTATATTTTAAATTAAAGTGTTTTTTAGCTTTTTACTTGCCTTATTATTTTAGGGTTTGGGTGTTAGATATTATTATAATTTCATAATTAACAGAAAGATGGCTTAATAACCACCATAAGGCATTTATTATTTCAATTTGTTCTAATTTTCTGCAGAGGACTTATAAATTCTTTTCAAAAGAGTGCATAAAAAATTAAAACACCAGATACATGATGATTTCTGATAAAATTAACAAAATACAGAATAAGAAAAAACAAATCAGAAAATGAATACAAAAATAAATTTTGTGTTTGCATTTATCTCCAAATTTATTTCCATATATCTATTTTTATTTTCCTTTGTAAACAATTAAACAATTGCAATTTTGAAGACTGGAACTCAAACTGAACTTCAACAAATGAAATCCAGCCATATGTAGATGAAAAGAAAAAATAATAAATACAAAAATGACTAATAACTAAGAAAAAATGACTAATAACTAAGAAACAAGAGCACATCTATCAAGAAAATAGTAACAATAAAATCAGATGTGACTATGTTAATATTAGGCAAACCAGAGTTTAAAATATTTTTGAGAACTAAAAAAGGATGTTCATATTGCTTTTTTTTAGAATATCCACGAACAGAATCTGAATGGGAAAACAGCTTTGCCCTGAAGATGTTCCTTTTCCAATTTGTCAATTTAAACAGTTCTATTTTCTATATCGCTTTCTTTTTGGGAAGGTAAGTCAACATTCTATGTGTTATCTTTGCAGAGTAAAAACCAAAAGAAATAGTTCCCTAGCCAGTTTGTTAACAGAGATATTAAATTCTTGAAACCTGCTTTGGATGATTGTCCTAATTGACCATCATATGCATGTTCAGGTGATTTCTGTAGCCACTGCCAATTAAAGTTGGCACAAAAAAATTAAAATGTATGTCCTATTCTTAAGTTGAATTATGACTATCTACTCATCAGTTATTATTTTGTTAAAGAAGAAATAGTTTTTGTATAATTACAAATTATAATTTCTCAACATGTAAACTTCTTCAAATCATCATTTTAGTGTTGTTCTTGTTGTTTTTACATTTTTGCTGCAAAAACATAATGCAATGAAAATTTCCACCCAGTGTCATGGTAACATACTGATGCTTGAAACATTTTGAACGAAAGCTTTCAGCACATTATGGTAATATTCTTGACCTTGGTCCAGAAGACATTACAACTATGTGTGGAATTATTAAATGCCATCAGGTTGGTTTGTCTGTACTTCCTTGACCCTTTGGTACTGAGTTCATGCATCACTTTTTCCTTCTTAAATCAAGTACTTGGATGTTGTCTAAGCATAACAAAAGTTAGCTGGGGACAAACTGCACCAGTGAACTTTTATGTCTACCCACACACATACTTGGTGTGGCAGTTAGCAGGTGTTCTTCACTTAACTGCTATTTAATTAATTTTATTTTTCTTTCTCCCTCTCTCTCTCTCTTATTTTTTTTTAAAAAAACAGATTTGTAGGCCATCCAGGAAAATACAATAAACTTTTTGACCGGTGGAGATTAGAAGAAGTAAGTAATCTTGTGAGCGTGGATGAGTGGATGGGCACAGAGATGGACCAGTGACTATAGGAGGGTTGGGGGTTGGGGAGAGAATACTAAGCCCAGGCATATGGAAGGCCCATCATTGTAGAGAGGAATTCCTTTAGGTTCTAAAAGGAAGCAACTATACATATTTTTAAAATGGCTTTTGACTAGTCAAATCTCAAGATTCTGACCTCAACTCTCTTTTATTATTTTCTATCACATTCTTCCATTCACAAACCACAGATACTTAGCTCCAGCAATTTCCTCATTTTGGAAATTGGTATTATCTATTGCATGGATTTCCAAAGTTTTAGATAAGTTAGGGAAAAGGGAAATTTTGGTCCAGAAGAAACCTTATTTAAAATATCAACATATAGATATGCCAATATATCTGCCAAACGCTCATATTTGTTTATTGATTTGCAATATGTATGTTCTGTGGAAAACAATGTACAGGAGTAGTATCTCTGCATGCTATATACACTGCAGCATGTTGTATATTTTCCCTAAGACTGAGAAATCGTACTTCAAAAGGCCAACCATTGCTTGACAGTGTAGAGTCTTGCTTCCTCAGATTTTTGCCAACAGAAACATTTGTTTTAAACAATCTGTTAATCAGAAAAGATTCTCTTTTTAAATTTTAGCTTCTTTAGCTTTGAGTCAGATGAACAATATTTTTTGTATATTTGTTGGACATTTAAATTTCTATGTACATTTGTGTGTATTATTCCTATATATTTTCATTGAGTTACTTCTCTGCTTTATTAATTTACAAACTTAACAAAATTAGATTGTAATCTTACTAAGTTGCTGCAGATCTCTCTTCATTTTGTTCTCTTTTAGGTTAGCTTTGATACATTTTTTTATAAATTGTATATAATTTTCTAAAAAAAAAATCACTGCTTGGATGGCTTTTGAGATTTGTACCATGCCAAAACATATTTTTTTCACTGAGAGGAATTCTATAAGAACATATTTTTACTGTTATTTTCAAAAGAGTGATGTAGAGTGATGTGTTTTACACATTAAGCATTTGTTTTGATGTAAAGAGTAATGAAGTAATTTTTCCAATAAAAGAAAGACACATTTAATAAAAGAATTTCTTTCACTCTGCAAAATGAGATTTTATATTTATCATATTCTGTATATTATAATGTGTCTATTTCTGGTATTTCTGGATTCTATTTTTATTGGTCAGAAGGTATTTCTTTGGTACTGGGGGTATTTTATCACTGAGATAACTCCCCAGTTCTTTTTATTTTTTTTATTTAGAGACAGGGTCTTGCTAAGTTGCTAGGACTAGCCTGTAATTTATGATCCTCCTGTCTCAGCTTCTCAAGTCACTGAGATTACAGGCATGTACCACCATGCCTAGCCAAAATGTCTTTTCCTTTTCTAGTTCAAACCGTTTTAATTATTCTAATGTAAAACCCAATTTCAAACAAAGTATCTTTAATAGAAGGCTATGATTTAGAAAGAGAAAAAAGATTCCCCAAGAAAACTGAGGTTAGAGGTATTTCTAGTTTCTAAGAAGCTCCTCACATCTCATGAGAGGGCACATTAATGTTGTCTTCTCAGATCATTTTAGAAATTGATTGCAACATAGATAAAGCCTAAAGTTTCCTAAGAACATAAGCTTTATAAAAGAATTAATTAATAAAAAAACTTGGCTCAAATGCTAACTAAAATTGTATCTTTTTCTTTGCTCTCAATTTAAATTTCCTGAATTTCTGTTCCCTCATCCTAAATTGACTACAGTAATCCTTAGGCTGCCAAATTACATATACATATATATGCGAGATAATTTGCATAACACAATTAGCATCACCCTAGTGCTGATTGCTAGTATTTACCAAAGTTCTGTCTCCACAATTACTGAGGAATTATTGTATTGGCCAAAGACAGACTAAGGCCTTTCATGATTCTGGAACTGCCTGGAAATCTCCAAGTCCAACTAGCAGTTTTCTTTCAAGGCCCAGAATTATAATTGCTAAAGTCTGATCACTTACCCTATTAGTGACCCAAGGCTGAATTTTTCAGGAGTGTTTAACTGAAGTTAGGAAGAATAGGATGGGTTACACAGTGATTATAGCCAGATAGGTCTACATATTAATACCACTTTGGGGCTACTGTCACCAATAATTTCATTTAATTGTATATCCTTATTCTTTATCATGAAATTATTGGGAATCTTGATTGATATCTGAAAATCCAAGAAAAAAATATAATGCTGGTGTCAGTAAAAAATGTTTCATAACTATGCTAGACATTTTCCATAGGATATATGAGCTATGTGGTGATTGTATTTTCTAAGAAA